GTGAAATCTATAGAGGGAGCCCCGAAACCATATGTGCTGAAGGGAAATACAGAATGGAGGTTCCCTGGGGTAAGAAGCCAGGAGTAAGTAAGAAGATTCAGTGTTATCTTCTATGGGTTCAAGGAATGGCTGGGTGCATGGCTAACCCTCTATGTCAAATCTTGCGTAAGAAATGTACCAGAAAAGATTTATGAACCTTATGTAGTCCAAACTGTCAGGGAATGCCTGAGTTTCCATTATTAGAGATGTTTTTGTATTACAGGAGTCATCTAGCCCCATGATTCTCAGAATTTGAGAGACCAACTTATCTTTGTAAGTCCCTCGTTGAAGATGTTATACCTCTCTGAAAGCTGTTATGCCCCCACATATGATCCATGTTTTCCTGTCTTTTTGTTTGTTTGTTTTGTTTTGAGACAGAGTTTCGCTCTTGTTGCCCAGGCTGGAGTGCAATGGTTCACTGCAACCTCTGCCTCCTGGGTTCAAGCGATTCTCGTGCCTCAGCCTCCCGAGTAGCTGGGATTATAGGTGCCTGCCACCACACCCAGCTAATTTTTGTATTTTTAGTAGAGACGGGGTTTCACCATGTTGGCAGGGCTGGTAACTCCTGACCTCAGGTGATCCATCTGCCTCAGCCTCCCAAAGTGCTGGGATTACAGGCGTGAGACACTGCGTCCGGCCTTTCTTGTCTTTTTCTTCAACAAAGAATATAAGACAAAATATTGGTTGAATGAATATCTATACGCAATTCACCTACACATGTGATAGTTTCCATTTCAAGGACATTACATTGTTTTCTAACATTAAAAGAGTGGAAATATTTTGCCCCATATCAAACACAAATTGGAGATAATTCTAATTTTTCAAAGACCAAGAGGGGAGACAAAATGTCCACCCTTAGTCTGTAGTAATTCTGGCTTTAGGAGAGAATAGGTAATGTATTTCAAAAGCCAGAACATACCCAGTCAGAGGGTCTGCTGGAGGCACTGCTCTGGAGACCTAGGCGGGTTCCCATCCATCCTCTACTCGGATAGTCCAGCCGTTCAGAGATGAAGATTTGGGAGCTCATAATGCTAATGATGTGTAAATTCATTTTCAGCTATTTTATTAAGCTGGTCTTTTCAGGTTCATTATCATTAATATTTGTGGTTGGAATATGTTCCTCCAGAGACTCTGCAAATAGCTCTTCTATTGTTCAGGTAAAATTTATAGCAAGTTAGACTAAGAGGGAGCACGGTATGAGCCCAGGTTTTCATTTCCCCTAGGAACTGAAAGCTTTGCTGATGGTTTTGGATGGGTGTGAATCTTCAGTCTATAGGTCCAGCCATCTTTTAGATATAGGTCATTAACTATGCTATTATGAATCCAAGAAGGAGTATCAAGTTGTAGGTGCCAGAATGGAGAGAGGTGTGGTGCAAACTTCCTGAGATCACATCCTCCTTTGTTGTAATTGGCTCTGGCAAATTCTTCCTTTTGCTGCCACAGTCTCTGCCCCAACAAAGCCTCACAGTTTCCTCTGGATGCAAAGGTACAGGCAGGACTGTAAATGCAACTACTGTGAGTTTCCTGCCCAGTGGGATGGAAGTGTCTTCCTCCCCTTAAGGCCCACATAGAGTTCTGGCACTTGCATCCGTGCCATCTGCACCTGCCAGAGATTTCACACTGCTATGTTGCAAATAGGGCTTGAAGTTTCTGGCCGTGTCAGGAGGAAGGAAGTGGCTTTACCACTCAGCCATGCATCTGATGACAAGCTCTGGGTGGGCAGGAAACTATGGGAAGAAGACAGATTTGGGTATTAGAATCAAATGTTACCTCTGGTACACTTTAAAATGAGCTATTCTGTGCCTCCTAAAAACAATTTTTGGGGATGGTATGGAGGGATCTCACAAGGGCATGAGCCCCTGATAATGTCATAAGTGCCAGTTCGATAGGCACAGCCAGACCAACACAAGTTCACATACCTGATGTCTTAAAGACACCTGACACCAGGCTCAGGTGAAATCCCCACCTGTAAAGCCAAAGGGTCGGATAGATGATCTCTATGGTTCTTTCCAAGTGTGAAAATTTGAGACTCTAAAAAGAATGGATTCCCCTTCACTAGTGTATTTTCTTGTCATTTAGATTCTAGCAAGACCTTGTTTGTGTTGCAAACTGTTAGCAGATGCTGAAGCTGTCCAGGGCTGAGTGAGTACCATGTTACTCAGGCTTCACTAGGCTGAAGGAAGAGGTTGAGATGAAGGCAGTCACTCACCTGTGTTGAAGACCTGCTCTGCAGCTTCATTTCCTGTCATTACAGACTGTGTCTGGGCCCAATCAGAGGGGCCTGTGGGGAATGGCGGGCAGGTGGCACTGGGGTCTCTAGGGAGAGCAAATACAAATTGGATACCACCTAGAGGTTGCGAAGTGGAGAATAAGTTTCTAAGAACAGCTAAAAAATGAAAGAGACATGACAACCAAATGCAGCATGTGATCCTTGATAGGCCCTTAGATTTTTTTACAAAGCTATAAAGAACATTATTGGGACCACTGTGCCAGTTTGAATATGATTGCATATTATGTGATATTATTGCATTAATATTAAATTTCTTAAGTATGAAACTGGTGTGGTGGTTATTAAGAGGATTCTTTAATTTTGGAGAAATACCTGCTATTATAATATATGCAGCTTTTATATGCTATGTGTGTGTGCATATATATCTATATCTATAATATGTACTTTATAGAGATGAAACAAATATCATAAAATATTAACAGTTGTTGAATGTAGGTGAAGCTTGTATGCTGTTCCTTGTGCTATTCTTTCTAATCTTCCATAAGTCTGAAGTCTTTTAAAATAAAAAGTGTGGGAAAGTGGCCCCAAAGTCAGCTATGTGCCATAGCGTAGCTTCCCTACCCTACAATCCTTCTGGGTTTATTCATCCCACAGGTTAAGGCGGACACACTCCTGTTATACTTTGGGCTCATTTCCTTATTTGCTCTGTTCTCTCTGCAGACAGAGTCAGCAACCTCCTTATAATTGTGTGGCTTGATGATGTGCGGAGTTGTCCCTAAAACTCATTTGTATGTGTCTGGGGCTACTCCTCCTCACTACCCAAATAAGAGCCATTTTTGAGTGGTGGCAACAATGTTGGCAAAAGCAAGTATTTGTTGAATATTCACTGTGTGCTAGGCATTTTATCTGTATCAGCTCACCTGATTCTCATAAACAAGCCTTGGTTAGGTTTTCTTATCACCCTGTTTTATAAATGAGGCGATGGGGCTCCTAATGTTGACAAGCAGCAGAGCCAGAATTTGAAGAATCTAGGGCCAATGACTCTAAAACCTTCATTCCTGACCACGACTCAGCATGTCTCAGCCTGCAGCTGCATTGCAACTACCTGGAGAACATTTGCAAAACTGACATGTGCAGGCCCTGCTCCCAGGAGTACTGAGTTATGCAGTGGGGCTCCGACATCTGTTGCATGCAAAGATTTGGCTGTTTGGCTTCAGTTCCCCTTGTCTCCCTCAGCCTTGGGTGAGTTTCATCCATGACCTGTCTCCTCTCCCATCACCACTTGGGAGAGTAAATCCCTTTAACCTTAGGGATTTGGTGTGGCTCTTCCTTTCTGCTGATACCACCGTCTGTCAGGGTTGGCTATGATAGTCTCACAGGGTGCAAATTGGGGCCAGTGGTGTGGCTGCACTAATAAACTTACCAGGCATCATTCTCACACTTGGCTTCATGTGGAGCTGTGGCAGGAACTTAGGTGAAAGTACCTGCGGACGCTTGCGTTGGGTAACCTGTGCCTCCTGACAAGAATCTTCTGGGGAAGGAGGACAGAGGCCCAAGGAGGAGGAGCAGGCTTCAGCTGTAGCTGTAATGTTTCATTTCTTATTTTTTGGATGAATCTCAAGAGAATGATGCACAGGGAAAAAGTCAATCCCTAAAGGTTACATATTGTATTTATTCCTCTTTTTTTTTTTTTTTCTTTAGACAGAGTCTAACTCTGTTGTAGCTCAGGCTGGAGTGAAGTGGTGCAATCTTGGCTCACTGCAACCTCCACCTCCCAGGTTCAAATGATTCTCCTGCCTCAGCCTCCCGAGTAGCTGGGATTACAGGCATGTGCCACCTCAGGTGATCTGCTTGCCTCGGCCTCCCAAAATGCTGAGATTACAGGTGGGAGCCACCGTGCCTGGCCTACATAACATTTTTGATATTAAAAAATTATATCAATGGAGGACAGCTTAGTGGCTGTCAGGGGTCAAGGGTTGGAGGGAGGTGCTACCAAAGGGCATCTGAGGAATCCTGCCAGGGATGCAAATATTCTGTGTCTTGACTGAGTCACTATCAATTTCCTGGTTGTGATACTGTCCTAGGGTTTTGGAGGATGTTTCTACAGGGGGAAACTGTATAAAGGGCACACAGAATCACTAGAGTATTTCTAAAAATTTCACATGAAACTTCAGTTATCTCAAAATGCAAAGTTTAGTTGGAAAAAAAGAGGATATAAAGCAAATGTGGTAAAATGTTAACATCTCTTCTTTGTGGGTTTGGGGTGCATAGAAATCTGTTAGATTTGTTGTTATTATTTTCAGGATTTTCTGAATGTTTGCAACATCCAGTAAAAATCAAACCCTCTGGAGTTATATACTCAGCCTTATATGTATGAAACCTTGCCTAAGACTCATTCCTGGCCCCCTCAGACTGGTGTGCTAGAAGCACAAGTACGAGGGATGGAGGAGCTTCTTAGGTTGGCACTGGCCCCAGTGGCAACCATGCTTCTGACTCCCTGCTGTCCTTATTTAACCTGGGAAACCATTGAATACTCTGAGTATTGGGACTTTCTATTCTCCGTATAGCTCCCACAATGCTCTACTGAATCTCCTTGGTCTACCACAGAAATGGGTGAAATTCTACTTCTGTACTTGGTGACAGCTACTTCTAGACTAAAAGAATTGTCACAAGGAGCGCTGTCTTATTAGAATCCTTGGTTTTGTGTATTATAAGACAATAGAGACGTATATACCAGAATTCATTTATTGTATCACTAAAGTACAACTTCACAATATAATCAAAAGGGACTAAATGAGACATGCAGAACAGTTTAGATGTAGAAATAGAAAAGAATGTTTGAAGGGTCAGTTAGATTGAAATAGAATTTTAATAATCACGAGAGAGCCAAGTGTTTCTAACCCAGTGTCGCTTAGACAGCCTTGGCCATCGCAGGTCTATTCACATGGATTCTGAATGACGATCAGAAGATATTCCTTATCTATGGAGAGATGGACAAAATCAATTCACCCTTAATTTAAATTTAATCAAGGAATATTTCAACTAGACTGCTGTTCTCTTCAAAACATCACATGGACCTTATGTAGACAGATGGTTTCCCACCCTGGCTGCACATCAGAATTACCTGTTGAGCCTTTAGAAAATACCCATTTCCTAGGGCCTCAGAGATTCTGATTTCATTGGTTTGGGGTGGAGTTGCAGGAATGGAAAAATTTTTTAAAAGTCCTCCAAGTGATTTAATGTGTAGCCAGGGTGAGGACACTGGTGTAGAAAAAACTTCATTTAGTTTATAGGCAATTCTGATTTGATGGATTTACTATAGAGGTTTGTTCTAGATTAGTTTAGTGGCATAGGTCCCATGGTACAGTCATTTTGTAACATTGTGAACCTAATTCCTTCAGGGAAAGGAGTGTTTCTGTGGCTGCTCTTCTGGTAGACCTGGGAGATGTACTTTCCTCATAGGGAGGGTTTAAGAACCTATAGGCCTTGGGTTCACTGCCTACTTTATCTGCAGGACAGGGAACATTTCTCCCATTCTGCAGAGTCTGTATGCTAAGTTTGCTGAAAATGAGACCTACATTTTCTAAATTTTTCCATTACTAATAATAAATGCAAGTGGGCAAAATTCAACCTGTTCTAAAGTCATGGGGTCATATTAATTGCTAATTTCATAGAATTTTTAGGTTGGGATTTTTACATTCAAATATCATTTTGTAATAGAAGAATATTATGTTTTATATTGCATACTAAAATCTATACTTCCCATTCATAGAAACAAGGCTTTTTATCTTGCAAAGTAGAAAGATGATTTAACTAGGAAATGAAATGCCAAATTACCTGGAGCTACCATGATTTCATGTTTCTTTGATCTGATCCTAAGAAAAGTCAGGTCGTTCTGAGGATCAATATCACGAACTGTGCTTTTGGCTTTCATTGTTAGGTGATGAAGAAGGCCTGCATATTGAACAGTTGTTGAGTTGTCCAAGGTTGTTCGGATGGGAATACCTATTATGAAATTTAATTTTGGTTAATAATTTTCTGACTAGAAAAGTAATATGTACATTGTGAAAGTACTGGAAAACACTGATAATTGTAAAGTGGAGGAAAAAGTTATGGCTTATCACTCTCTGGTAACAATTTTAGTTTATTTCCCTCCAATCTTTTTGTCTCTGTAGATTTTTAAGTATAGTTGTGTGAAACTATATTTACAAATTTGACTGTTGCTTTTTTCTTCATTAAAATTATAACATACCAGTTGTCCTTGTTGACAGTGTCATCAACATTATTTTTAATAACTGCATACTTACTATTTTATGGACATATAATACAGTCCATCTCCTATTGTTTGGTCATTTTGTATATTTTTTATATAGCTAATGGGGTGGTGATGAACGTTTTTGTGCATAAATCTTTCAGAAGCTGTTAACTGACTACTTGAGTACTAAGTTAACATATTTTTAGATGAAATGCACTCCCCCGAATATCTTGTCTACAGTGAGTCTGCTTTGAAGTGCTTGATCTGTGACATGGTGTTAGTCTTCTTCCCTGAGGCCAGAAACATAAAGGGATATCACCACACATGCTAGACGGTACATCAAAAGGGACTCCTCACACAGTATTTTGCAAACCTTAAATTTTATGTTAGAAAATGTGGTAATAGGAGCCGCGGTGGCTCAGGCCGGTTGCTCTGGCACTCGGGGAGGCGAGGCTACATGTTCGAGGCCAACCTGGTCAACATTGATTGAAAAAAAAGAAAATGTGGTAATAAGGATATTGTAGTTTTGCTGTGCATTCCCTGGTTTGCACTCATTTTTGGTGTAAACACTATTAAATTTGGCTACTTGTATGCTCCATTGTTTGTTTGTTTGTTTTGAGACGGAGTCTCGCTGTCCTAGGCCCAGGCTGGAGTGCAACGGCGGGATCTCGGCTCACTGCAACCTCCGCCTCCTGGGTTCCAGCAATTCTCCTCCCTCAGCTTCCCAAGTAGCTGGAGTAGCTGAGACTGCGGGCACCCACCACCACGCCTGGCTAATTGCTGTATTTTTCGTAGAGACAGGGTTTCACCATGTTGGCTAGGCTGAACTCCTGACCTCAGGTGATCCACCCGCCTCATGTCTCCCAAAGTGCTGGGATTACAGGCGTGAGCCACCATGCCCAGCATGCTCTATTGTTCTGTTACACAAGTTTAAAACAGAAACTATTAACTGGAAAATTCTAGCCAGAAGAATATGCAAGTGTAATTCAATTCAGTTGAAATCAATCTAACTCAACTTGGAACACCCAGCATTAATGCCTATTATGTACCAGGCACTGTGGTAGGTATTTTACATATATCGTATCTAATGAGAGATAGCCTTCATATTATTATTATTATTTTTTTGAGATGGAGTCTCGCCTTTTCGCCCAGGCTGGAGTGCAGTGGCCGGGTCTCAGCTCACTGCAAGCTCCACCTCCCGGGTTTACGCCATTCTCCTGCCTCAGCCTCCCGAGTAGCTGGGACTACAGGCGCCCGCCACCATGCCCGGCTAGTTTTTTGTATTTTTTTAGTAGAGACGGGGTTTCACTGTGTTAGCCAGGATGGTCTCGATCTCCTGACCTCATGATCTGCCCGTCTCGGCCTCCCAAAGTGCTGGGATTACAGGCTTGAGCCACTGCACCCGGCCGCCTTCATATTATTTTGAGAAGAACTAGATAGCCAGAGAATTCCAGGGATTTGATTTGCAATGTGCTTTTATTTTAGGAGGAGATATGAAGGTGAATTTGGGATCACTATCAAATTCCTTAGGTATCTGTATTAAGGGCACTCAAGAATGAGCCTAACATGGCTCCTGGTTTCCTTCAGAGAATGTAGCTCCAGAAACTATTAAACAAGAAGAGCACTTTCAAGAGTAGAAGAGTGTTACAAACTTAGGATTTTACCAGGTTTTCATAAAAATCTTGAAGACTATCAATTTTGACTTTGAAAAGACTGATTTCTCTTTCTTTTAAGATAACTGCTGTGTCCAGAATGTTTTGCTAAACAGTATGAGGATAATATTTACAGGAAAACCTATTCAATAAATAAAGCATCATAAAAACCTTGCTAATCTTTTAGTATGATTTGCTGGCCACTTTTTCCCTGGAAGGCAGTCAGCTGTCTTGCATACCTGAAGGTCACAAAACATGGATCTTTAACAAGCAGGAAATGGAAATGTGGCAACACGCAACCTTTGATGGGAACTTTTTGACGAGCAGTTTTATTTTGCATCCTAAGTAGTGACTACCTACTAAGGGTGCAATGCTCAGTAGCAAAACAAGAAATACAACCAGAATAAATTATTTAAAATGTAGGTGACAGGATTATGAATCAGATGCTCAGGTCTATTTAGTTAGTCCGTTCATGATCCAAGTCAATAAATAAAACAGCTAGCCTTTTTGAATAATAAGTGTGCACAGTGGAAACACGTGGAGTTTTTCGTATCTGCCATACACACTTGGAAAAAATCAATCAACAAATATTTATTGAACTCTTGCTTGGCACCATGTGAGGTAATTAAAAAATAATTTATTGAGAAGTAATTTTAGCATATGGTATAAAATTTACCCACTTCCCTTCTGAGAAACAACTACTGGTTTCTTAGAGCCTTCTAGAGACATTCTAGGTCTATTCAAGAATGTATGTGTTTGTGTTTGTAATTTTCATTTTAATGATACCATTCTCTATTTCGTACCTTGATTTTTAAATTTAATACTCTTTGGAAATTGTCTGATTCTGTACACGTAAGTCACACATATTAGTGACTGAATAATAGTCTTGTTGAATAGATGTTTTGTAATATACTTAATATGTCCTACTGATGAGCATTTAGGCTGTTCTCAATCTTTGACTTTTGTAAACAAGGCTACTTAATATGTCCTTGGTCATCTCATTTCACATTTGTATATATGTGTAGGATAATTTCCTAAAATGAAGCTCCTAGAACAAAGAGCATATGTATTCTAAAATTTGATGGCACTACTTTACTACTCTCTATGATCCTAGTAAGCCAGCACCCGTTATTTCAATTTGTCATCTTCAACTGCACATTTGTGCTCTGGCTGATAGATTGTATTTCAAAATAAAAGGAATTGGCTGGATGGCTGTTACCATCTAATGAAACTCAAATGATAGATTGTTAAAAATGTCAGGAATATTTAAAATTAAGAGCCTGTAGAAATCAGACTTATGTACATAAGAAAATATGACAGATCTGACTGCCTGGGGGACAAACATACATATTTGCCAGTATCTAATTCAATGATCAGTGTTGCAATATTATAAACAACGAATGGTTTTATAAATGAGAAACCAATGCTAACAAAAATTTACTCTAATTAAAATATGTAGCATTGGGCTAAACTGGGAAGACTACTTTACTGTCTTCAATAGGAAGTCTACGTTTCAGTAACAGTGAAACTGAAGGACTATATTTAACATGGCATATGGTGATATCTAAATGAATAAGCATGGTAGAAGTCTGACCTAACCACAAATATAATCTGAAAATGCTAAAATGATTTGCCTAGAATTAGTAGACCACAACTGCTAGTAGAAAACAGTAATACATAAAACATCATCTTAGCTAAATATTTTGGTATTAAATTTCATGGGACTTCCCAAAGCTGAAAAGCTACAAAGCTACACTGTAATAAATGACGCTTTCATCTAAAATTGAGTAGGTTGTTGAAACTGAGTATTTTATTACATTCTGGTCACATAGTTTACACCATATGCCATTAATAAACATCCTTGTCATATACTCTGGTTATTAATAATCCAACCATAAAAATAAGCCCCTTATTTATATTTTAGGGAAAACAGGTTAATTTGGCTTTCAGGTAAAAACTCTTAAGTACCCAGAAACCTTGAAAAGTGTCCTGAATTCTAATATAAACTTATCCTAGTAGAGGTTAATTGGAAGTTAATGGGTATTGAAAATAATATTTTGTTGCCTTCGGATAAGAGAAGTGTTAATTGAGGAACCTCAGGAAAATAAAGTGAAAATCACTTTTCGTCTCACTACTCAGGGTGATCACTGTAACATATCCCTACTCTTCCTTCTCTATTTATTTGAAGTGTATGTGTGCACCTGACCATAGATAGGATTAGAACGCGCTGGTGACCGCTTTGTTCTCTGCTTTTTTCATCTAATACTGTGAGTTTTCCCAAGACCCTAAATAGTCTTCAACCTTTTAAATAGAGTAATGTTCATCAAGTAAATATTATATAGTTACTTTAAAAATTCCTGCACTGTTAGGATACATTTATTTACTTATTTGTTCTATTTATTTATTTATTGCTATTACATATGATGCCTCAGTGAGTATCCTCATACCTAAATATTTTCATCATCACTCTTTAGGATAAATTGCTAGGAGTAAAATTGTAGATCAAAGGGGGTGAATATTTTTCAGACGTTTGGCGCATATCACCAGGATTACCTACTTTAGACCAAGATCTTCCAAAGAATAACATTAGATGAGTGGTTCTGGGTGTCACAGGTGAATGCACCTGTACAGGGTTGAAGAGTGTCTCCCTAGACCCCCCAGATCCCCAAATTCAAGTCCAATATAAACCTCAGAAGGTGGCCTTATTTGGAAACAGGGTCTTTGCAGATGTAATTAGTTAAGATGAGGTCACACTGGATTCGCGTAGGCCCTAATCCAATAACTGGGGTTCTTATAATGAAACAGACAAGAGACACAAAGATGAGAATGCCACATCATGATGGAGGTGGAGATTGGAGTGATGTGTCTATAGGCCAAGGAACACTAAAGATTGACAACTACCAGAAGCTAGGAAGAGGTAAGGAATGATCCTTCCATAGTGTCTTCAGAGGAAGCATGAGCCTGCGGATATCTTGATTTCAACTTCTAACCTCCAGAACTGGAATAGAATACGTTTCTGTTGTTTTAAGTTACCAGGCGTGTTGTAGTTTGTTACTGCAGCCAAAGGAAACTAATGAATGACCTCTATGAAATCACATGGACGGCTCATCTTCGGAGCCATGGCAGAGTGTATGCAAATACCTGGAAATAAAATCAATGCAACCAGATCCATGTACTAGGGCTGAAATGCTTCCTGGAAATATTCTGCATAGTTCTTGACTTACCTGTAAGGCAGATCTTAAATCTTCTCTTCCCCTGATTATTCAAGCTCGAAAATTTATTATGTTCTATTATCTCTCTCATTCATTTGGCCTTGAGTTACTGGTTATAAAACAAATCAAATGCTTTACCTGTATAAATGAATTAAAAATCCCGACATTTTCATAACTATTTAATTACTATTAAGTGTTGGGTATTATGCCAAGCACTCAACAATTATTGTCTCATTTAATGATCAAAACCACCAGTAAAATAGGTTATTGTGCATTCTTAGTGGTAAGGAGTTGTAGTTCAGAATTTAAGCAGACTTTCAGTTGGTAGTTGCTCAATAAGTATTTACTGATGGATTTTTCCAAGGCACTGAGTTGGTAATGGACCAAATCCATGGTTGCACCACAAATTATGTAAAGTAGCTACTCTTATTTTAACTAATGCTCTGGAATTTCTGGCACCCCTTGTCCTTACAAGTGTCTGAATTAGCAATGAAACCAGTAGGAACTCTTAAGAGGTTGCCACCATAGCTGAGCATGGAGCAATGTGCCAAAGTAATGTGCCAAAGTAACATGCCAAAGTAAATGCGACGTGGATTCTTAACAAGGATTGTGCAGCAAGAGCAAGTTTTTGGTAAGTCTACAGATTTCATAGTTGGAAATGTATAGGCTCTTCTTATACTACATCCACAAAGAGTACATTATAAATGATATCATTAATTCTCAAAGATTTTTAAATAAAATATGTTCAAGGAACACGTTCCACTTAAAATAAAGACTGAAATTCTGTATGGTTAATAATGTTGAAACAAAAACAAACTACCATCAATGATACTCTCCCTATCTTCTATATGACAGTTTTTTTTGGCACTTCTGAAATATTGGAAGAGAATTACCAAAGCTTTAAAAAGTAAACAATGTATAGTGCTTCTTAGGAGTATATAGACATTTTTAGACATGTCTTCTTCATATTTATGTCCCCAGATCTTAGCAGAGTGTTTTTTTTATATATATATGGACTAACACAGCAAACAGGTTCCTGGTTGGCTTCTGCATGTCAAGAAGATAGCCTGTGATATATTTACCTTCTGCATTAACAACCATAGTTCCAATAACCCCTTTATGGCTCTGGATCCTCTTTAAGGTTTCTTCCACCTCTGCCTGAAAGAGACCAGGAAGATAATTAACCAAAAGGGCCCTGTGGTAACTCCAACCCTAAGGAGAATAACGTTTGGAAAGATACCTACTCCCCTATCTCCATAACCTAAGGTGCCGAGTGTGATAATCTCAGATTTTTAAAAGACAGCTTTGAAATTGTCAAGTCCCACATAAATATACCTATATAAGACCTCGTGGTTACAATCCTGATAAATCTCAGTAAGACAGCTTACTGCCTCACAGGAGTTCACTCCATATTTATCTGTTTCCATTTACTAGAAAATTATTCTTTACATTGCATGGAAATTTGTCCCAGATTATCTTTCATTCATTGACCCTGCTGTATTCAAATGAAAATTCCTTTTCTACATTATAGTGCTTTAGATATTTATAGAGCTATATCATGGCCTCCCTATGTCTAAAAGTAGTCCTTATTGAGAAATCTTATTTTCATTACTGTGACCTAATCAGTTCAGATGATTAAATTTAAAGGATATTCTATAAAAAACAAAGTATTCCAGGATTCTAGGATTTTCTTGATAACTATAGCTTCCATATCAGTGCAAGCTGAATGTTCAACTATGAATGATTATTCTGGAATCTATTATTGTGTTTTAAACTCATTTGGAATCTTATGTGTAGACTGTATTGTACGTTTTCTTCCTCTCTAGAAAAGTCAAAGTCAAGAACTATCTTTTCCAAACCTGCAAATTGTTCATGACTGAGCAATCTCTGGATATTCTGAGTTCAAACAGTATTCTGCAAATTCTCTTGATGAGGGTTTGCTATATTCTTCTTTCCTCTATTGCACAGGTGAACATTATGTTACTTCAAGATAGTTTTCCTTTGCACTTGGTATGAGCATGAGCACTTACTTTCTCTATTTCAGCATCATAGCCAATGTTTTCTTAACTTTAGGCATTTTTATACTAGATTCATTATTCTTACCATTATGAATGCCATGTATATTATTTATCTAAGTATTCTTTAAATTATCTCACTGCTAAAAGTTTAAATAAATGCATTTTAAAAGGAAACCATATATCACTACCACAGATGGAAACTTGATGTTATTCCTCATAAATAGAAATAACTGTAAAACAAACAAAATGAACAAAATGAAGAGACAGCATATCATTAAATTCTACTGCAATGAAAGCTCTGAGCCTGAGGCCTGCTCTTTAGATGAAAAATGGAAACTTCCAAATGACAGTGGTATTAAGGACCTAATAGTAACAGAAATTTTCTCCTGTATGTAGTCTGAAGGTTGAACAAAAAGGAAGAGGAATAACTTTCTCACGATGTGATTCATTCTTATTTAGCATTTCTGGGCCATCTTATGTAGCAACGAATGTTTGCATCTCACTTTGAGAAACACTGCACTAAACCGTAAACGCTGAACAGGGGATCAATAATTTACTGCATTTTGGGCAATCTTTAAGACGATGTCCACAGCTTCTTGAAGCCACTGTGTCCTCATTTATCTTTCTCCCTGTTACTTATCTCCCAAACTCCTTTCTTTTCTTTCCCTGGCCTTTCCATTTCTCCACCCAGTTGTTTCTCGTCTCATGACTTCTGAGTGCTCCTAGTACAATTTCTTAATCCCCATCTCCAATCCCCGTTTCATTCCTCTCTTAATGACCTTCGCTTTCCACAGTTTCTACTTTTTTTTTTTTCTTACTCCTTTTTTTTTGGGGGGGGGAGGAGGGGAGCGAGTCTCCCATCACTTACTTCCTTTTTCTTTATTTCCCTTTCTTCTTTTTCAGTATCTTCCCTTCTCATCCTTGCATTCCCTTGCTTTCCCTGTCCCACCTCTTCCTTCTCTCTAAGGGTCTGATTTTTTTCCTTTCCATCTCGGCCTCCCGCCCCGTCTTTGGAAACTTTCCTGGCTCCCCGGATTTCTCACTCCCCTGAGCATTCTTCACCCTCTCGATCTCTCTCTTTCCTTTCTCAACATCAACCCTCCCTATGTACCACCCCCGCGAAATCAATTCCCAAGACAGCTTCCACTCATCTAGACATCTTCTTCCCCCTTTCCAAGGTCTCCCTCTCGCCCCTCCAAGAAAATCCTGGAGCCACCAGTCTCCGCCGCGGCCCCTGGACCGTCCGTGCCTTGGGGGGCCCCAGGAGCCGGGCAGCGAAGGTCCTTGCCGGTAGGCGTCCTTCGAGCGCCGGGGCGTAGACGGAGACGCTAGATTTACCATCGCGGAGGCCGCGAAACTCTGGGTTCAGGCCGGCGGCACAGACTCCCGGGATGTCAACAACGCTACCAGCCGTAGCTAGGAGACAAAGGAGGAAGTGGCCCCCGGAAGCTTCGGGGCCGCGCCTGCGTGCTCGCGGATGGGCTTTTCCGCCCTGACCGTGCTCCTGATGCCTCCCGGCCGCCGTAGGCGAAGGTTCGCGGAAGCGGCGAGCAGGCGCTTACCTGAGGTTCGCCCAAGCTTGGGGCGGTGGGGCCCGGGAGGGAAGAGGGAAGTGGGTCGGGCTCCCGGTCTGTGTTCATCCATTCATTCATTCGTTGAGGCACGAATTAATGTAATAGCCACTCATTCGTTCAAGAACTGCTGATTCACCACTCACCAGGTGCCAGGGAGAAGGACAAAATGCACCAAAAAGTGCCGGAAGCAGTAATGTCCACGTGTGATACTTGCCTTGGAGCAAGTAAACAGGGAACAGGGCCATCTGACTCCGGGGTTGGGCTGCTCTAGGGGTTTGGTGATATTCTTAGCTGCCTATGACCGTCCATTAGTACTGCCCTGTGCAGGGCAGATAATGTTCACTCCCTTCCCAGTAGTTTTTATATTGAAGAAAAATATATCAGAGAATCAAATAATACAATCTTATGTACTTAAAAAAAGTTAATGTATATCTGTCTACTCCAAGATCAGTAAACACAGTTTCACATTTTATGTTCTCACCTAGTTATAGCACCCTCTTTCTGTTCTCAACTCCCTTGAAGAATTGCTACTTGTCAGTATTTCTGTTAGTTGTCAGTATCCATTAGGATCTGTATTTTTGCCATTGTAAATATCAACAGTTCTGAGTTACTAAAAAATTGCAAGTGGTAGTTCTGGAGGTTCTATACATTGCCATAGAAGAGCATTCCATTGGGTATTTAAGGAACTGTTGGAGGAAACACATTGAGGAAACACATTAAAGATCAGTTAGGGATGGTCAGAAGTCGCTTGACTTTTTGAGGGACGTTGATAATATCCTTATAGCCTAGGAGGAAAAGAGCCACTATTGTACGAAGCAGCACAGCAGGAAGATTTTATGGCTGCAGTGGTGTTATGACTTGCTGGGGTTAGAGGAGGACAAATACTGATGACAAAATACAAGCTGTAAGTTGGGAATGCATCTTCATAGGGATCATGCCATAACAACTTCCTGTAATACCGATTCTGTGCATCCATTTCCAGAAAGTAGTCTCACACTAAACAAGGCATGCATCGTACTAGGAATGTCAACTGGATTCTGAATGGGCCATGTTAGGCATGCTCTGGGACAGTTTTGAATTCGTTGGCAGGCTTGGACTCGATGATCCATTTCAACTCCAAATCTGTCATTTTATTATATTAACTACAGAAATACTCTGAGAAGCTGTAGTTCTGCTCTAATTTTTGTTGGGTGTCGGTGATTCTGATTACTGTAATTCTCTCCTTTTTTTCTCTCCAAGAAATTTGTATATCTCGGAAAGCCAGTTCACTATTAATAGCCAAAGAATCCCACTTGATTCTCAACACTTGGTACTCCAACAAAGTTGATTTGGAAAGGGCTGCTAGAGCCTTGGAGAAGGAGTCTGAGTCTGGTATGTGCATGTGCATGTGCATGTGTGTGCTTGTGTGTGTACGCATGCATGTGTGTACAGTTCTGGCTCTTACCTGATTGACTATAGCTACCATTTTGCAGTAATACAAATATAGGTCTTTAGAGAAGTACTGGCCAAGTTGAAGACTGATTCTTGGGCTCTCTGGGTGTTTCTGATCAAGGAGATTCCTACTTGATTGTGTAGCCATTTGTTTTTCTTACAAAAATCAGTGACAGTGCACCATGTCTGATATGTCAGTCAGCTTTAATGAAGGAACCCACTGCATATGCATGGAGTGTGGATTTCCTCCTTTCTGGAGTCAGGGTGTCAAGCTCATTCAATCGCTGACAGCTGTAATTAGAGCAAAAAACGATTCTACCATGAAAGGCACTGACAGGAGAACCCAACTGCTCAAAGAGAAATAAGAAGTAGCCAAACTGACTTCCAACCAACGGTCAGGTTTGACTCTGTGCACAGGAAATCAATGAGGAGAACTTGAGCCATTTTCCCCATATCAATTTTTCACTTCTAATTATTTCTTGGAGGTAGCTTGGTTTAATTTTTATGCTTTTTTTGGACCTATAATGAATGTCCAGAGCTATGCTATATAAAGTGTCTTTGCAATGCCTGACATGTTTCCTACCCCATCCTCAATATGTGTGAATTCTTCTTTTACCATCTCCTTCTCCCATCCCCTCAGCTTTTCTTTCGACTCACAATAAGTGCTAAATAACTTTGAACTTAAGTGAAAATATTAATGAATATTAAAAAAAATATTAATGAATAATATTTTTTGCAAGTACTCTGACTTAACCCCAAAAGTGATACATGCAGAGACCAAGTCCACAATTTTTCACATATAATTTTGTTAGACGGAGATGATTTTCTTCTGAGAGTCTCTCTTGCTCTTTGATACTTTGCTACTGCTCTCTGGTTAGCTTGAAGAAATACAGATAACTTAATGATCTTGAGTTTTTTCTTGGCATTTTCTATACCACCCCATATAGCTATCTTTGGCATTCCTGGCAGTTGGCAAATATTAGGAACTGGGCCATGGAGTAAATTTTGTGCCCATTCTCCCATAAGATAAAGCATTGTTTGTCATTTAACAGAACTTCTCCTGGTATTCTACTGGTTTCCCTCCAGAAAATAGACACTACATTCTTCTAACATGTCCACAGGCCAGGCGTGGTGGCTTACATCTGTAACCCCAGCATTTTGGGAGCTGAGGCAGGAGGATTGCTTAAGGCCGGGAGTTTGAGAGCAGCCTGGGCAACAAAGCAAGACATCATTTATACTAAAAATAAAAAAAAAAAAAAAAAGGCTGGACTTGGTGTTGCATGCCTGTAGTCCCAGCTACTTGGGAGGCTGAGACAAGAGGATTGCTTGAGCCTGGGAGTTTGAGGTTGCAGTGAGCCACAATCACACCACTCTCTCCAGCCTGGGTGACAGAGTGAGACTTGTCTCAAATAAAGAAAGTACAATAAAATAATAAAATACTCCTTAATACTAGGGCATAATTAGAAGATGCCAGTAATATCAATAAGTATTTCCTAAAACTGACCCAGTGTCATAGAATTGCAGTATTATAGATTTAAAGTTTCAGAAAATCAATCATTTTCTTCTTATTAGGCTAAGACACCCTCTGGGGTGACTCCCTTCAAGACCTAATTGTAATAGAAGTATTTGCTTTCCATAAGGGAATCCTCCTTGTGAGAATTAAGTGTTTTCCTGGAGCACAGGATTTGGAGTTGGGTGCAGGTGGGGTTGACATTTCTAGGCATGTTTCCTTGAATCAAATAAACAGAGCATCAGCTTCTTCATTTATAAAGTAAGAAAGGTAGTATCTACCTTAGAAGGTTGAGATGTGAGGTTTAAATATTATGTGGGTGAATATCTGGCTCATACCAGGTGACCAGTGTGGATCATTTAACCATGTTTCTTTCTTCTGTCTTTTCCTTTCTTTGGTTCATCTTTCCTTCTTCCCTCCATTCCTTTCCTCCTTCTCATCTTTAACCTTTCTTCCCCATTTCCTTCCCCTATTTCCTTCCTGTCTCCCTTCTTCACTATCCTCTCCTCAACCTCTCTTCCTTCTTCCCCTCCCTGGGAAAAATCTCCGTAATTCGTATTGTTGACATTCTCACTAAAGAACAACTTTCCCTTTCTCTTTGTATACAACTTATTATTAATTTAGAACCTTCATCTGTTTCATCTACCTCTAATCCCATTTTAACATAATTCCCGTTTTTATACTTCTAGCTCCAGCAAGCAGTTCCCATCTTAGTGTACTGCACATAATAGGTATTCTCAGTATCTTATGGTTGAGGGTAAACTGTAAACATTTCCTGGTCGATTAACTTTGTTCAAAGAAGAAGAAAGGAAGGGCCGAGGGGAGGAGTACCTCTCCTTTTCTCAGATAATCCAGTCCTGAGGTCTCTGATCCATTTAGTTTCAAAATTACTTTGGTAAGTATAACACATAAAAAAGTAAGGTGCACCAAACAAATGTACAGTGGGTGAGTTACCATGAAGTGAACAGCTAAACCCCCAAACCAGATTAAAATAAATAGAACACTGTTCACACCCAAGAAACTTCTACTTGGCCAGTCCGAATCATTATGCCCACTCTCCCTGCAAGTTAGTTATCTGACTTCTAACAGCATGATTTAGTTTGCCTCATTTAAAATTATTCAAGTGGAACTACCTGGTATGTAACCTTTTGTTTTGGGCACAATTTTCCTCAGTATTATGTGTATGATAGTCATCTATGTTGTGTGCAGTTGTGGTTTCTTCATTTTTATTGCTCCGTAGTACTCACCTGTAAGAAAACACTACAGTTTATTTATACTTTTACTGTTGAAAGATATTTTGGTTGTTTCTAGGTTCTGACTAATCTGAATAATGCTGCCAAAGCATTCTGTCACATGTCACTTGGTGCACATAAGCATGCGTTTGTTTCAGGTATATATATATATACAGGAGTGGAATTGCTGGGTCATAGAGTATGATCCATTATCATGCATTGTCAAACTGTTTTCCACTGTGGTTGTGCCAGTGTACCAATGTACCTAACAGTGTAGTGCAAGATAATTTATTTTGGTGTACAGCCTTGCCAATAATTAATATTGTCATGCTTTTAGGTTTTAGCCATTCTGGTATGTGGAAACTAGTGTCTCATGTGGTTTTAATTTGCATCTCGTTGATTACTGATGAGATTGGTCACTTTTTCCCCCACATAATTATTGACTTTGGTTTTTTTTTTGATTTTGTGTGTGTGTGTGTGTGTGCGTGCGCGCATGCACATGTGTGTTCCCTGTGGTGCAAGATTTTTGATGGTTATATGTATATGTCTGTCTTTACATAAATACCTACAGCTACATCTATATCTATCTATTACAAATCTGTTCTACTCTGTGGCTCTCATTTTATTCTCTTAATTATGTCTCTCAGTTGTGCATATGTATATGGACACTTGGTGTGTAGCATAAGTGGAGCTGCAGACCAGTGGGGGAAGCGTGTTTTTTTTTCAATATGTGACACTGTACCAGTTTTATATCCGTGAGAAAATAAATGAAACATCTTCATTACCTTGGGCTAGGGAAACTTTCTTAAGCGAGACAGTAAAGTACTAATCCCATAAAAAATATTGATTACTAGAATACATAACAATTAAGAAATTAGAGGTGCGTTTGTCCTAATAAGAAGAAAATGGTTGATTTTCTGAAACTTCATAACACTGCAATTCTATGACATTGGGTCAGTTATGGGAAATACTTATTGATATCACTGGCATCCTCTAATTATGCCCTAAAAGTTACCCAATCTTAGGTATTCCTTTATAGCAATACAAACCAGACTAATACAGGGACCTTATTCTCTGACCAGAGGGGCTTTGGTTTCAAGAGTGTGTGGCAAACTTCACTGTTTTTTTCTGTGTTCTCTTACCACTGGACCTCAACACAGATTCAATTACAGAGTGTGAAAGAGTTGGGTAAAGTCTCAGCATTCTGGCCTGAGGACTAACAAGGAAAGCCCCAGAGAATTTGAAAGTATCAGGGGGTTCACAGTGAGGGAATTGCTCAGGAAGGCAACCCCATGAAATTGTTTTTGGACTTCCGGACTTATCCCTGACTGAGTATATGTGTTTCTGATCCCAGACAGTATATCAAAGACTTTGAGAATAGAACTGTGGTATAGACCACTGCACAAGTCCGAGACTGCTGACTGGGTAGAATAAACATGGATCAGATCCAAATATTTCTTCAAATTCTTGGAAAGTGGAACCTACATTGAAACCATAAGCCACAGAAGGCTGGTCAGAGCTTGGAGCCAGAACCAAATTGGATTGATTTCTGGCACAAACAAAAATACCAACATTCTTTATGGGATTTAAATAAAACTCAGCATTTCATTACCTAATATTCAAAGTGTTCAGTGTACAACCCCAAATCACTTGACATACAAAAGTCCAGAAAAAAACTTTTTTAAGAAAAGAGAATCAATAGATTCTCTTGTGATGTGAGGTAACACAGAT